GTCGGCTGAAATGGGTCTCATCAACCATGGTGCTGGCTTCAGCTATGGCCCTAATCCGCTGAAGTCTCAGGTCAAGACAAACAGTTTTAACAATGGAAATCGTGATCTCGATTTTGAAATGTGTTGATTTGAGTCGAGACGAGCGTGCTGGACATCGTATGAGCCAGTTGCCAAGATTATGATTGTGTTGTGTTCAAATCCAAAAACATGAAGTTAGGGTTTGGAGCATGTTTTACGACGAACCGCAGAAAAAAAAACACATCAGGAACAATAGAGCGCCCTGTGCTTGCTGTTCTTTTTGAAGACCCCTAACCACCATACGAATATGGCTGGCACACCACCAAGCAGACAGTCAAAACTGTAGCAGTTTGACGACGCACATCCTGCTGCTTTTTCCCGCGGTAGGTTAGGGGTCCGTTATGAGTAAAGGTCGCTCAGACATTGCCTGCTTTATAGCTTCCAACATATTTGCTGTTCCCGAAAGCATGGCGAAGGGTTCTTCCGCTGGGTTCACTTGAGCTGTTCTCATGAGAGTCATTACAAGGTGTCATTGCAAGGAATCATCATCATGAAAGTCATTGCAAGGAGTCATTGCAAGGAGTCATTGCAAGGAGTCATTGCAAGGAGTCATTGGCATTGCAAGGAGTCATTGCAAGGAGTCATTGCAAGGAGTCATTGCAAGGAGTCATTGCAAGGAGTCATTGCAAGGAGTCATTGCAAGGAGTCAAAGGAGTCATTGCAAGGAGTCATTGCAAGGAGTCACAAGCATTGCAAGGAGTCATTGTCATTGCAAGGAGTCATTGCAAGGAGTCATTGCAAGGAGTCATGGCAAGGATTGCAACTTGCACTTGACTCCTTGCACTTGCAACTTGCACTTGACTCCTTGCACTTGCAACTTGCACTTGGCACTTGCCTTGCACTTGCTCCATGCACTTGGCTCCTTGCACTTGCAATGGCTCTCATGACTCCTTGCAATGACTCCTTGCAATGACTCCTTGCAATGACTCCTTGCATTGAATGACTCCTTGCAATGACTCTTTGCAATGACTCCTTGCAATGACTCCTTGAAACAAGCAAGGAGTAAAGTGCAAGTTGCAAGTGCAAGGAGTCAAGTGCAATTGACTTGCGAGGAGTTAAAATCTCTTCTTAGGGCGGCGGGGTAGTGCCGACGACACTACACGAAAATCGACCCTCTGCGGGGATCGGCGTGGTCGAGGTGCAAAAACCCATGGTTTTTTGCGATTTCTAAAGTTCCCGCGCGACCCTCTGCGGGGATCGGCGTGGTCGAGGTGCAAAAACCGATGGTTTTTTGCGATTTCTGCCCTGCTCGCGCGACCCTCTGCGGGGATCGGCGTGGTCGAGGTGCAAAAACTCGAGGTTTTTTGCGATTTCTGCGGTGCTCGCGCAACCCTCTGCGGGGATCGGCGTGGTCGAGGTGCAAAAACTCGAGGTTTTTTGCGATTTCTGCCCTGCTCGCGCAACCCTCTGCGGGGATCGGCGTGGTCGAGGTGCAAAAACTCGAGGTTTTTTGCGATTTCTGCCCTGCTCGCGCAACCCTCTGCGGGGATCGGCGTGGTCGAGGTGCAAAAACTCGCGGGAATCGGCGTGGTCGAGGTGCAAAAACTCGAGGTTTTTGCGACTTTTGTTGTTCGAACTGGTCCTCGGGAGTTGTCTCGTGGTTCGCGCGCCTGCTCCCGGAACCGGCGGGTCGCGGGTTCGATTCCTCCCTGGTCCGCGGGCGGGCGTCGCAAGATGCAACTTGCATTTTAATGCAACTTGCGCAGAGCAACTTGCGCAGAGCAAGTTGCACAGAGCAACTTGCGCAGACCAACTTGCACCGACCAGTTTGCGCAGAGCGCCTTGCCTAGAGCAACTTGCGCAGAGCAACTTACGCAGAGCAACTTGCACAGAGCAACTTGCACAGAGCAGCTTGCACAGAGCAACTTGCAGGGAGCGCAATTTGCACAGAGCAACTTGCAGGGAGCCACTTGCAGGGACCAACTTGCCGGAGCAACTTGCGCGGAGCAACTTGCGTAGAGCAACTTGCGCAGACCAACTTGCACCGACCAGTTTGCGCAGAGCACCTTGCCTGGTGCTGTCTCGCGCTTGCTTCACGAATGCTTCGTGTAGGGGAAAAGAACGCATCCTGCAGCATTGGGCCGACCTCGCTTGCGATGTTCTGCTTTCGGGCCAACCGTGGTCTAGTTTTTGGTGTTCCTCCATTTTGGCCTTTCAACCAAACGTCAACTCTTGCGCCGGGTTAGTCTGGTGGGATGCTGATAAAACTTAGTTTTGTCCTGTTTCAACTTGATGCAGAGTCTGAACACTACGCTTTTTTGGTGCACCCCAGAGTTGGGCCAAGTGTTGAACTTGCACAAGGTGAGCTTTTTCGCCAGTCCGCTTAGTCTTCAATTCCAAAAAAGCGTTCGGTTTCATTGGACGCCGCCAACCCTCCACGTAGATAGGCTACCACGTTTCCTTTGACCATTTTGCAAACAGGGTGTCGAGGTTTCAGGAAACACCCAGTTGGTATGTGTATCAAGTTGTATCTCGCCTTAGAAAAGATGATGGGAGTGTCCCCATTGTGTGGCCCCATTCCGAGACAGCCCCACGCCCCCTAGGCAATATCCGCAGGGTTCCTTTGTTTTAATCGAAGCCTGTGATTGTTTTGGCACCGCACCACCATAGGGTGGTGCTTCTCAATGTCTCCCTTTTGCAGACAGATGCGCACGCTAAGGTCGGTGGCTAATGCAATAGAGCACGATGCTGCCTGGGGGGAGGCAGGCCCAGTTCTTTTTGTTTTTAGGGTTTGGGATTGAGGGTGGCATGGGCGGGAGTTTTGCTTTCTTTTTTTGGCTTTAGATTAAATGATCGCACCGAGCGTCCTCCCAAGCCATGTGGAAGCTCTCGTTTTTGAGGCAGCTTCTGAGTTCACTTGGCAAAGCCGTTGAATATGCGGAATTAGATGGGAGCTCATCTTTAGACATCAGAAATTGGCCTTTCCGGCCATGGAGGTTTGGATTACCTTGACCCGGCCGCAGCTGCGGCCGGTGCTGGTGGAGCTGGTGAAGGACATGCAGCGGGAGATCGAGCCAGCGCCCAAGCGGGAGGGGGGCTTGCCTTGCCAAGGGTTGGATTCTAGGCTTGTCACTTTTCTTTTGCCAGGGTTTTCAAAAACCAAACCCGTGCCATCGTCGCATCCGGATGGATTTCAGGTCGCTGCTTGACCTGAAGCAGGTCGTCTCGAGCGCCTTCCTGCGCGACAAGGCGCCTTGCGCGTGTTGCGAAGGCCTCAAGGCACTCCAAGCAGCACCTGTTACCTGCTGTTGGCGTACGTGAACCGCGCGGACTACTTGTCTTTCAAGCCAAATGAACTTAGCATAAGACTCCCAATCAACCCTGTGCTCTTTCTGCGACAATCGCAGGTCAAAACTCTTCATTAATTCGGTTAAACAGCCCTTTTGCATTAAAATGCGAACGTTGAGATGGCAACATATCCCGCAAGTTGATAAGCGATAACCTTGATCGCCCGCCCCCTGAGAAAGTTCTTAGAGCCTTCTTGGAAGAGGTTCAGTGGAAGGGCAGAACGGTAGGAGGGCCTAAATTCCATGAATTTGGTGCACTATGGTCCAGATAAGTTGATTAACGACGGGAGCGTTCATATGCCTGGATTGTTCGGCATCGGCGGTCAGTGCCTCGAACGCCCAAGGCGTCCTGACTCCAAGTTAGACGGCATAGATTCTTTCCGTATGTGGCTTCACCCATGTCATTGCATCCACAGGCACATGCTCTGATCTGCTCTGAAATCAACTCTGGACAGGAGGATATTGGTACCAATGTAGAGAAGAGGAGGAGGAAGCGGAGGAGGAGGAGGAGGAGGAGGAGGAGGAGGAGGAGGAGGAGGAGAAGCAGACAAAGCGAATGACGAACACACACACACATCATGTGAACACACCAAGGAGCAAATTCATGAGCAAGAGCAAGACGGCAGCGACATGCCATGCTTGCCTTGCGTACAATGCACTAGATGGAGGTTAATCATCGGCCTTCGCCTGCGGTTTTTGGGACAAAGCCCTTGCCTCTCTGAATCCTCCAATTTCCATTATTGGGTTTTGAAAAAATTTGTCGCCAGGTGCTGCTTGGAGAGCTGTTCCAAAAAGCTGGCCGGAAGGCGGGGTGTGGGGGGGTTGCAAACCAAACAGAAGGGCAGTACACTGTACTCGTCATCGTGTGACTTTTGCTTCAAGGATGGCAAAAGCCGCCCAGTGACCACGTAGGTGCGTCTACTAAGCTGCAAGAGCAAGTTATTTTTTTCGGTCCAGCCTGGCTGTCGCAGAGACGTCCAGCGGATCAGCAACCATCAGTTACTCAAACAGGAAGGCCACACCAAAGTTCCATCAGACAATTGCACTTGTCCACTGTCAATTGGGAACACCATCGAAACTGACCGTGGCTCGAAAAGTCTTCACGTTCAAGCAGAAGTGAGATGAGTTGATCTGCACCGATTGACCGCAAGAGATGGTCTAGGGACGTGACGGTGTTGCTCGCTTCCCTTTGGTTTTTTAGTGGTAGATGTCTGGTGAATGGAACGCGCTGTATTTGCATTCTTCGCTTCCTTCCATCAATTGGCCGCGTCCGGCAAACCTGGCCCTTTCAACGCCTGTTTTGTCTCTATCGTTTCTCCGGTTTTTAGAATGGCGGTGGCGGCCTTGCCGTTTTTCGTTTGCGGTTTTCCTTTGCCCACCAGCCCCATGAAGAAGTCAGCTCCGGAAAAGCACAGAATGCCTCCAGAGCTTGCCGTGAGGAGCTGGAGTTCCTGGTGAATTCTGGTCTCAGCTTTGGCGGCTCGGCTGAAATCCTCCTTTGGGCCTTCCCTGAGTGACCCTCGGTGATTCACAAACAGAAACTCGTTGAGATGTCATCGCGCTGCTGAGTTGAGCTCGGATGCGAGGCTTCTTCCTCGGTATCTTGCAGATGCTTCTGTGGATTTGCTTCCCCAACAACTGGGTCCTTCCAGTAGGCGCATGGCCGGGCAGATTTGTGGACGACTCAGTGAGCTGAGTCGGACATCGTTCTCTCTTTGTGTGTGTGTGTGTGTGTGGTGTGTGTTTTTGCGTGGGTTGGAATGAACCACTGGCAATCGGAAACAGCGCTTGCCATGCGCTTTGCAAACGATTGCAAAAACAGGGGCACTTCTGCCCCCATCACCTTCATTGCATGCACCAGAAAAACAAGATCGTGTTTGCCGCCGAATGCAAGTTTGGAATTTCAACCCTGCAAACATTTGTTCATCATGTGGAGGATACAATGGGAGTATCAGAACTGGGCGTGGCTCGAACTCAACGCCTTGGCCATGGCTTTGCACCAGCTCATGCCAGGAGGTGCCCTGGTTGGTTACATCACGCCCTGCGCTCAGCGAGTCAAAGCCTTTTGACTTCACAAGCTGTTCCCCACCTGACAGGAAGAGGTTGTTAGATTTTATGTTGGAATCCGCGTTTGCGATGCTTCTACACCACCCCCCCCACGCATTATCCCGCCAGAGCAGCTCGCCAGTGGAACCCGCCGAGTATCCCGCCAGAGCAGCTCGCCAGTGGATCACGCCGAGTATCCCGCCAGAGCAGCTTGCCAGTGGATCCCGCCGAGTATCCTGCCAGAGCTGATCGACAGTGGATCCCGCCCAGTATCCCGCCAGACCTGCTCGCCAGTGGATCCCGCCGAGTATCCCGATCCCTTACCGTGCCGAGTGTACGGCCAGTATCGAGACGGAGCGCCAGTATTCGTCAGTGGGCCCCGCCAGTATCCCGCCAGAGCAGCTCGCCAGTCTGGTTTTGCTTCATGGGAATTTGGAGTCGAAATCTCTAGGATGCGGAGGATTTTGTTGTAACGGCCGTAAGCTCGTGAGCGTGGAGGGTGGCGATTGCTCGAAGCGAAGTAATTTTTATATTTTTTCTTTTTCCTGGGCTTATGCCGCAAGCTACGAACTTTTTGGGGGATGGCAGAACAAACAAAGCCACAGATTCGTAGCATCAATCCATTTATTCCCAGTTGACCTTGAGGAACTGGGTGGCCATCAAGCTGATCTTCGATCCTGTCGAGCCTGTGCAGGCGATCGCATGCAACAGCCATGCCTTTGCGAGCGAACTTGGGGCTACGGCGAGCTCACGCAGCAAATGGTTCGATGCCTGAAGACTCCTTCCTTCACACCTTGTGGCCAGATGAACTCTGAGGGTTTCGATAGAAGGTGAGGGACTTCCTTGTACGGGCAAACTGCGCAAACACACCCTGGCGACCGTTGATTTGTTACTGGGGCTGCCAAAGCCATAGGAGGCACTTGATTTGCCTCTGGCTGCCAGGTGGGTCCTTTCACGTTCCAGGGCCTCTTTGAGAAGCGGCAGGTGGAGGCTCGGGTCCACGCTGGCGATTTGACCAAAGACTCCAGGTGTGACGGAAGGGACTTGGGTGTCAGGATTGTGCTAAACGGGTCCAGGGATTGACCAGTTCTGGGATGCCAAGTTTTGGCGGCCTGCGCTCAGCAGTCCGCTCACGAATTCCCAAATCAGCGGTCATTTAATCACTGCACCGGCACGTGCACCACCAGCACCCCCAACCCGGCCCCAGTAGGAGTCACCTACCTCTTCTTTGTGAGAAGTGAGAGAGGGAGAGAGAGAAAACAAAAACTACAAGAGAAAAAGAGCAAGAGAAAAGAGCAAGCAAGAAAGAGAGAAAGAGAGAAAGAGAAAGAGAAAGAGAAAGAGAAAGAGAAAGAGAGCAATCAGACGGCTTTTGGTTTCAGAAGACGCTGACAGGTCTCGGAAGAGTTTTCCCAGTTCTTGGCAGAGCGAGCTCCAAGCCCCAGTTGGGCGAAAGCGGGGGTGGTGCAAATTTGGTGTCCGACCTCCCTGACAGGGAGCCAAAGGGAAGCAGTTCTTTTTCGAAAGGCTTGACTGGGACAAATGGCCAGAGGTGCAAGAGAAGTGTTGAATACATTCATCCAAGCCTTGCATCATTCTCTGCATGAGTGAACAAGTGTGCCAGGATTCCAAACGGTTTTAATGCCCGAATCAGATGCTGAACAGGTGTAGACTCGTAATTCAACGACTCAGTGCAACCTTCCGAAGCGAGAGTGGGAAGGCCTTGTGGAACGGCGACTGGAGACTTGGTCCGGACGTGAGGTCCTCACTTCCCAGCGCCTCATTGGCGAGATCGCCAACGGCGCCAACAATGAGAAGTACCGGGCCCGCACCTCGAGCCGCGACAGCGCGAGGTAGACCAAGGTATGGGTCAAGATTCAAGCACACGGGGGCTGCAATGTTTCCATGTTTCCATGTAAGGTTCCAGTTTCACCGATTGACCAGACCGCTATTTTGAGATACTGACAGTACCCTTAAGGCGTCACCTGACGAAGCTGACACCGATGCAGTTGCCAATGGGAGGCTGTATGCTTCGCCGTAGGGGGAACAAGAGAACAAACATGCCAAGTCTTCGGCCGTTGTGTTTCTTTTTCCAAGGCCTTGGTGCGCAGAGCCGTGCCTGGCGTGGCCCGGCGCTTGCAAGCTGACCGACTTGTATGCAGATTCCCATGTAAAGTGTGCCAACCAAAAAAGGGGTGGGGGGGTGGGAAGCCATACGGTGGATGGACGAAATCCTGCACCACCTAAAGAAACCTAAAAATGTTTCCCCTGCAATTACCACAGTATGATTCCCACGTGAAGTCTGTGGATTCAGAGGGCAGCGTGGCTTTGAGGTGCCAGACCACGTGGTGACAGCGGCTGCCAACTCTCTGAAGAAGGCCCTGGGCTTCGGGGCGAGGGGAGGTGATGGGGCCTGGGGCTGGGGCCTGGGGCTGGGGCCTGGGGCTGGGGCCTGGGGCTGGGGCCTGGGGCTGGGGCCTGGGGCTGGGGCCTGCTTTTGGGTTTTGGGGCCGGTGGAACTCGTTTTTTGGGAAGCCATCAAAGTCAGAAGTGGGCCTTATTTCCCGTGACGCGACCACTTGAGATTGAGAAGGGAGATGGAGCGAATCGTGCTCATCTCCTGTTGTTTGAACCGTGGGTAATCTTCCAGCTACTGATCTGTTTGCCGAGGTGGAAGTCGTCAGTGAGTTATGTGCTGCGGCGTTTTTTGTTTTTTTTTGGGGGGGGGGTTTGCATATTCAAAGTTTGCTCGATTACTACATCCTCTCTTGGCAAAACAACCGGGCAAGCCAAAGATATCGTTTGGCAAGCCCACCTGGTTAGGCGAGCTTACTATGACTTAGGTCTTTTGCTTGGCGATCCCGTATTTCAAGGTTTGGCATTATTATTGTGATCATAGATCATCGTGCACGAATCTGATGCTATTGATTTGGCTTGGTGTGACCAGACGAGGACCCCTTGTACGACTTGCACTGTATGTTGATTACGGGCACGAGAAGGGATCGCCGGAGTCATGAAATCGTTGAGCATGGCCTTTGTGGCGCGTCCATGAATCATTGAAGCTGGACTCAAACAGCTAGCGGGTCTAGCGAGTCTAGGTCCAGCCCGTTTGGGCCATGTGGGTTGGTCCAGCGGCACAGGTTCTCACCTTTGATTTGTGGCAGGATGCTGCTCCTGGCTCCGGTCAGGAGAGCTTATCCCCAACTCCTCAAGTACAAGGGTTGTGTCTCCAACTCAGGCTGGTCCTTCCTCATTGCTGATTTCTTGCCAATTTTCCTCTTGAATCCATTTGGGTCTGGGTCGAAATTGAGCCACCAGAAAACCACAGGTTTTAGTCTTTGGTTCCATTTACCAGGGCAAGCCATTTTGGGGTTACCCCATTTTTGACGCTGGCCGCTGGAGGTGGCGCTGGAGCCGGCGAACCACCCGGTGCACGTCTACGTGGTGGGGCCCGTTCTGTTGTTGGCCCTTGCTGTTGTCATGCAGTTTGTTGCGTGGATGTGCCCTGTTCTTTGTGTTCTTTGTGCGCTTGCTCAAGGGGGCACGGTTTTCGAAAGTTTTTTCAGCGACTGGCGACTCCCAAAATGCAGTTTGGCACGATCATTTCCATGCATGGGGCAACTGTTTGAGAGGTCACAGAGGTAAATCGCCGAATCACCGCATGCGCAGTAGCGACGCAGCGAAGCCTCCCACACAGCACGTCAGCATTGTGCATGTCCCTTGGATCGGGTTGCTTCGAGCCCTCGGGTCCTCAGCTTCTCCGTCAATTGGTGAATCCCTTTGGGTGGGGTGGTCTGCACAAAGGGGATGCCACCCATTTTTCAGTGGTCCCCAATTTTGGACAACCCGGGTATGAAGGGCTGCAGGTCTTTTGAAAGAGTTCTGATCTTGCTACATTCGATTGGTGCACCCCTCGCCAGGACAAAGAGCTCCGCCTACAGGAGACGCCCTGCTGACGGGTTTGTATGCCTCGAAGTGTTGACGCCTTCGAAGGCAACGGACACTTTGGTTTTGCATTTGTTTTTCTCTTGTAATACTGTGAGGATGCTGGTGCAGTGTCCCGGTTGAGCGAGTTGTCTTAGTGATGGCCACAAAGTGTGCGCAATTTTGCGACTGGCTGGGGAGAAGGCTGGAACATCGCAAATCGGAATATGTGCAACGGCAATGATGTCCGCCTATGCACCTTCAAGTCTCCACTACTTTTGATGGTCTCAGACTCTCTGAAATCAGGTCACAACCGCAACAGCTGCACAATTTTTCAAGGAGGCTGCACGCTGAACCTGGGAAGGACTGTCCGGGAAAGACTGTCCGGACATCAACTCACCTGAGCCCAGATGTACCCTGCCCCCCGCCTTTTCGTACCATGGCAGGTTGTTCAAGCGGCTGTGCAAGCTGACCTCCCCGGAGTTCGAGAACCTCCTACACCCTGTCTTCCAGGAGGCGCCTGAGGGGGGCGCCGCAGGGGCCGCAGGGGCCGCAGGGGCCGCAGGGGCCGCAGGGGCCGCAGGGGCCGCAGGGGCCGCAGGGGCCGCAGGGGCCGCAGGGGTCGCAGGGGCCGCAGGGGCCGCAGGGGCCGCAGGGGCTGCAGGGCCGCAGGGCCGCAGGGGCTGCAGAGGCCGCAGGGGCCGCAGGGGCCGCAGGGGCCGCAGGGGCCGCAGGGGCCGCAGGGGCAGGGGCGCAGGGGCCGCAGGGGCCGCAGGGGCCCGCAGGGGCCGCAGGGGCCGCAGGGGCCGCTTGCTGGAGAGCGGGGCTGAAGCGTCTCCTGGGGAATGGATCACGTGCAAAGTCTTTGAGGGCCGATGGAAGCCAGAGGGATCTGCAAGGAAAGTTGATATGCTTGTTACAACTTAGAGCCGCCCATAGGGCCGTTGCAGCTTCAACGTGCTTCGTTTGCAATGAGTAGCATCAGGCAATTGCAGTCATTGACCCCAACACTTCGAAGAAACAGACGTTCGGCCCCTGCTGCTTGATGCCAGTTTGCAACCAGCGCTTGCATCGTCATGCCCAGAACAACCTTTTGTTTCTTTCTTTTTTCTCCGGCCATTTGTGTGTGGCTCAAAATCAAGAACCCGGCAAACCGCCGACTCTGTTGGAGCTTTGTACCTGCGGGGGGTGAGGGGGGTCGCATTTTTGAGGATGAGCTCACGCTCATCGTGGCGGGCGGCGTCCTGGGCGCCGCGGCCGGCTTCCTGCAGATGACCTGTGGGCCTGGCCCTACGGCTTTGTCTCGACATAGGGATCGGAAGCCCCCAAAATGGATGGTTTCCCTTCTGGTTTCCCTTGAAACTAACCCCAAAAGCGGCACCACCACAAAAGACACGTGCATGGAGCTCCCTGCCAGGTTCAAACTGGTAGGCGAGCCTTCTTGGCTGGATTGAGGCCAAGTCTCTGTCAGTATGGTCTTTGCTCTTTTTCAGGTTGTTCCCAAACCCGGATTTGTTCTTTGGCCTGATGGATGTGTGTGTGTGTGGACGTGCCTTGCGAGGAAGCCCGGTAGTGGACATCTTTGGTGGGTTCCACCCAAACGAGAAGTCGCCCTGTCGCCGGCACGGCAAGGTGGGGCGGGCCCTCCTCGGAGGGTGCGGTGGCTGCGGCGCTGAAGCTGAGCGCCAGTGCAGGAGCTAGGGGCTGGGAGGGCTTGGAGGGCTGGGAGGGCTGGGAGGGCTTGGAGGGGTCGCTGAAATTGAATGGGAGGGCTTCGGATGCGAAGTGATTTGCTTGCAAAATTGTCAAAGCACAGGTGTAAGGGGCACATTTTCACTCCACCCCCTGAGCATATTTTGTCCGGCTGGTCTTCTCAGCCACATTTGGGGGATCACTTGGCGAATATTTTAAGATTTGTTTCCCCCTGCTTTTTAGATACGAACCTTTGACTGCACAAAGACAGAGACGCTGAACCTTCTGGCAGCCAACCGGGACCCAAAGCCAATGACAGGTAGTTGAAAGGTAGCAGGGACCTTACCACAAAAAGGGGCGAACAAAATTTTCTGGGGATCGATCTGATAGATTCCTCCTCCAATCGAAGGGCTCACACCATGTTATCCAGGCGGCTCGCAAAAAGGAAACCAAGCACCAAACATTTGCATGGGGTTTGCATGAAGCAACATGCCTTTTGTTCTTTCAGCAGACTCCTTTGTGAGCTACACCAAAAAAAGGTTTCGGAGAGGATTGAAGGCCCCGGATGTTTTCCCCCATCCAGGCGCCGGCGCCGCGGCCACGAAGGCGGCGCTGATGGTGCCGCCACAGCTGCTGAGATGGGTCGGCAGGCCGAAAACGGGGGAGGAGCCTTGCCCAGAGCCGGGCGGGGTGTTCAATTGAGCCACAATCAAAACCCGGGCAGATGAAATCCCAACCACAAATAGCTGAGGCCGCCTTCTTAATTCTTTGCATGGTTGTGGGTAGACCATTTTAGTACCGGGCATTGATTTTGACTCAATTGGGACTTGAGTAATTCGCTGCTGGCTCGGCGACTCCCAGAGTCACAGGTGGGTTCACCATGCCCCAGTGTTGTATCACAGGAGGCATGTACCCTAGGAGGCGATTTTAGATCTTGCGCGTGGGAGACTTGTAGCGACTCGCCATCCTCACTCCTTGTCAAAAACCGGCCGCGCGGTGCTGGCATGGTCTTTTCTTTGCATGAGAGGTACGGTCAGAAGACCCAGTGATGAACCCGGTAAGAGAATAAGGCCAGTGAAAGACCCAGCTAGCACAAATGCATTGTGCTACAAGATATGAGCACCAGCGAATTGAGTCCTTGTTGGACTCGCTTGCTAGCTGCTAACAAGGACGAGGGCGCTGCCAGACAAAAACAAAACGAAGCAATGACTGGCAACCTTTGTCATGAGGACCCCATGCTACAGTGTTTTGTGGACTCAAGCCAAGTAAGTCAGAGGTACGCATTTGGGCTAGACTCAAGTCATCAAAGCCAGGGGGGGAGATAACTTCCGTGCCACTCCCCTCCATGATGACTAAAGATGGCTGCTCTTTTCTTTCCTTACATGGCTTTGCTTAACATATGTGGATACTTGTGGGCTGGGTTTTCCCATCCTGCGGAGCTTTGCGTCCATCCGGGCATATTTGGGCACGGTGGGATGATGCAGAACATTCTGCTTTTGACAGTCAGCTGGTTGCATCTCGAGTGAACTGTGGGTCATACGGGGACCTGCATGTCCACATTGGGCAAACCATTCCAATCCTGGTCAGCTGAAAGCTATAAAGGCGTAACTAGCGTCCAGTTCCGTGCAGCTTCCTAACATGAACAGGACACCCGAGCGGGCCCCATTCTACAGAGCCCTTTACTGGCGCACCATCAGCATTTGAGACTTAGAACGCGGGAAGGTCCTTGCAGCGGCTTTGGAGACCGCGATCGCCCGCTCTGCGCGAGCGGAGAGGCGGGGGGCTGGCTCTTGCTTGGAGACTTTTGCCTCCGTGCGTATCAGAACAAGGCAAGCACAACAAGCACATAAACTTATCTAGCAAAAACTTGCCAAAGATCTAGACGAGCTGACCAGCTAACTGGCAAGGCATGCATTGTTGCAACGCCAGTGAGCAATCTTGCTTTTGTTGCAGGGACAATGTTTTAAACCGTCAATTGCCAACCTTGATCGTCGGAACCAGGACGTTGCAGGTCATTTCCCAAGGCATGGTTTTTGGCTCAAGACCACTTCGGTTCCGACTTTCGTCCAGTCATTTTGACGGTTTTCGGTGGCCGCGAGCGTGCCTTTGCTGGCCAAGGGCAAGAAGGGGCACTCCAAGGCCTCCATCTTCGGGGCCGACAAATATTTGGAGGAAAGAAGAAGTACGCCCACGATCACGAGATCGCGGCCCTGAAGAATCTCCTGCCCGGCGACAACGACGCAAATGCCGCAGGGGTGGCCCAGAGCCAGGATTAGATGCTCAAGGTAGAGAAGAACAGCGAGAACAGGAGCTTAAAGACCAACCGGCTCTTTCCCACGGCCAACAAGCCAGACCCCATGCCTCAGAACTTGGCGTTCCTGTTCACCAAGATTACACCGGAGCAGATGATGTACTTCGGCTGGTCCCAAACATACCCTTAGACTTATAGACTAGCCCACGACAAAATTAGCAACTTTTAGCAAGGGATATACGGGATCAAAGAACCTCTAAGGCACATGTGGAATGTGCTGACGGCGATTTTTGTGTCGCAAGTTCTCATGGTGTGCGCCTACTGTGCTGCGCTGGCAACTTTCCCAGAGCACTGGTGGACCTGCACACTCTGCTTCGGCATTCCTTTTTCCTACATTGCCATCCAGAACATCTACATTGACCATGATGTCATGCATGGCTTCCGGTGTACGAGTGGCAGAAATTCCTCACCCACCCCTTTGCGGATTTCTTTCCCTGCCTTGGGAGGAGTTCGTGCTTGAGCACAATCGCCATGCCAGCACAGTTGACTTGCTGATCCAGGGAGAGTTTGGCTGGGATGAGGAGTTCCACTATGCCCTTCAGCAGTGGGCAGGCCCCATGGGCCCAAACTGGTGCAAGTACATCACCGTGCCCTGGATCCCCGTGATCCACTTCTTCGGCCTGAACGACACGGGCTCCCTCTTTTTGCCCTGGAGTGGTGGATGCATTTCCCGGACGACACCGGCGGCAAGTGCAAGGAGTTTTAGTGCGACAATGGAATGATGCTGCCGACAAGGCAGCCCGGGATTGTGTTGAAGCTCGTTTCGCTTTCTCTTCTCGGCCTGGTGTAGGGAGAGGAAGGCGGCGCGGGACTGGGAAGTGCAGGTGCTGCAGATTGCCGCTCGTGTCCATCGGCGATACGAGCATTTTTCACAGCACTGAATGTTTTCGGCGACTTTGGCGGCCAGGGCCTCGATGACTTCGAGGGCACTCTGCTGTCAGCAAAAATCTCTCTCTCGCAACAAGGAGTTTTGGAGCAAGTGGATCCCCCGGCGCGTGAAGCACAACGCCTTCGTGCTGAGCCTCTGGGCGTGCGTTTGGCTGCTGGGCACCTGGCCCCTGGGAAGGCCTCTGAGCGAGGGGTGGAGGTTCATGCTCACCGTGTCCTTCTTCGCCCGGATCGGCTTCTCAGCGGCCTGGATGTTCATCACCAACTTCACCCACTCCTTGCCTTGGAACGAGTTCCTGGCCAACGACCCCGGGCGCACCTGGCCCGTGCTGCACAACATGATAGCCCTGGCCCCTTGCCCAAGCCAAAGAAGCCTCGGAATCGCCCACTGGTAGGCCTTTGAGTTTCCATGACGCTGCCCAGAGGCACACTCTTTCCAACGACTGCATTGGCATGGGCCCGTTGCTATTTAATGGCCTGCGGCCTGGTTCCGCCGCCCTAGAATTTCGGCCCGGGACGAGAGGAAGCACGCGTGCACAGACCCGTTCGCGGACACGAAGACAGACGCAGATACGTAGACAGACACAGAGAGAGAGACAGAGAGACACGCAGGGGGGGGGAGGGTCTTCGCGGACACGAAGACAGACGCAGATTTGCCCGGGGCGAGAGAAAGCACGCGTGCACAGACCCGTTTGCACACACTAAGACAGACGCAGATACGTAGACAGACACAGACAGACACAGATACGTAGACAGACACAGACAGACACAAAGAGCACAGACAGACACAACGAGACAAAGACAGACACGCAGGGCGCGGACACGCAGATGCGTAGACAGACACAGACAGACGCAGATACGTAGACAGACGCAGACAGACGCAAGCAGACACAGACAGACGCAAAGAGACACAGACGGCGCGGACACGAAGACAGACACAGATGAAAAAGGGGAGGGGGGGAACAGACAGCCAAAAAAAAATCAGAAATTTAGAGATCCAGAAGTCCAGAAATCCAGCCGACGTATTTTCCCGCCCCAAGGGCCGCCGCAAGGCACATATATATATATCCACATAATTATTGTCACATCAAACTTGTAGAAAGCAGATCAACAAAAGCGACACAGAACACACCGCCCCCATGCCGAAAGCATGGTCCATTCTGGACCAGGCGTGGGCCCGTTGCCATTCTACTGTGTCTTATCCAGCAAGCCACAGAAAAGCTATGAACTGGTTGCAGACGGGTGAGGTATTCGAGGGAGAACACTTTGGCGCACCCAAAGTCCCAGGTCCTGGGAGGGAAGCACCGCTGGAACGAGATGCTTTTCCACGACGTCCACCACGCCTTCCCCAACGCGGTGGGCACTCTGAGCCAGCGGGGCCGCTTCCATGGCTGGGAGAAGGTGCACGATGCCGCGGCGCAGGTCTTGCACCGGGGGCTGTGGAAGGCCAACGGAGATGAGGAGACGCAAATGCAGCAGCTCAGCGGAGCTGATGCGAACCCAGCAGTTGGTCCGTTCCTTGTTTTTGGTCCAGTTTGAAACCTAGTCCAAAGGGCTTTGTTGTTTGACGCGACCTTTGGGCGAGTAAGGAAAACGCAAAAGAAGCGCTCCATGATGATGAAGCAGGGGAAGTGATTGCTGGCTCTTGCACGAGCGATCGGCTGAAACTGCGTCACATCATGTTTTGTCCCTTTGCCTTCTGAGAAGGTCGTCTTACCTTGCGTGCATGTGGCCACGATAGTGCTCACTGGTTCCAGCCTGTACAGCTGATTATTTGCTGCATGATGTCCATTTTCGCCCCCTGAGATGTAGCCCAGATGGCCTACCTAGCAGATGGCCTACGCAGCAAGACAACTTGCGCGGTTTCAGAGTCACTGACCACAGACGCAAAAACAAAAAAGATGATCAGTAGACCATGCAACTCACTTTCGAGCGTACCGTTTAGGTGGGGAGAGCAATGTTCTGCAGCAGACACTGCCTTGCGGGGTTCGTGTGGTTGTGCACCAAACGCAACTGCCCAGCGCTGGCGTATATCTCACCCAGTCTAGCCACGACTTAACGTGGTCGTGACTAATTCAAGTTTCAGTCTAAAGGCCACCCTCAATTCACATCCCGGCAGGATCGGCTTCTGGACTTGTTGCAGGGATCTCTCTGGTTGCTGGTTTTGCATCGTCTGACGGTTTGAATCTCACTGGAGTGATGCTCCGGCACGCGCCGTTTTGAAGGCTCATGATAAGACATCCGCAGTACAGGTGGACTCCGCAGAGCCGTGCCCTTTGCTAGCGCGAGCCACTGGCACAGAAGAGAGCCGACGTCGCAACTTCGATTTGTTAAGACAAGAATCGATGCGAAATCCAATGGAATTGATCGGAGCTTGACCTTGGCCAGGTTTCAAGCATCCTGGAGATTCTGGTGAGAAGCACTTTGCAAGCCACACATGTCAGGCAGACAAAATATCTACCTCGCTCTGGGTCAAAGCCAGTGACTGTCATAAGTGGACAAAAAAGCAAAGACGTTCACATGATATTCATGTCAGAAACCCAAAACAAGTGTGCTTACAGATACAAAACCCACATCCCGTGTCCCTGCTCTCATGGCGGTGCACCACGTGGGCGTCAGCGAGCGCGGCACCATCCTGGTGGCTTTGGCGCCGTCGAAGGCGGCGCCGGCGGCAGCCCCGGGCTTCGGCGCCTTCGCGCGGTCGGCGGACCTCGCGGCTTTCGTGCGGCGGGTGCTGCGCCGTGGCGAGTCGCGAGTGCTTATGGGTTGAGACAAATGGTGAGAAACCGCCGAGTGGCTTCAGCGAGGGAGGTTCTCCCCTTTTGAAAGGCCCATTTCATTTTGAAACATGGGTCATGTTTTTTTTTGGCTGCTGTTGGAGGTCACTTGCTCGGGTAGAAATTCTTATTGCTTTCTGCTTCCACAAAATTGTCTTGTTCTTTCTGCCCGACCAAACTCGACCCAATCGACCTAGCTTTCGATTCTCCGCGTGCGTTTCCCGGCTCCGACGAAGCTTGACCCCGTAAAATCCGTAGAATCTGTTTTCCGACGCTATTTCATGGACCGAATGTGAAACCGAGGGAGGTGGTGGAGCAGGAGCTGGGGCTCAGTTCCTACCACCTCCGGGTGCTGCCCTACCAGCGCGCCTTCTCCAGCGACGAGGCGGGGTTCGGGGGTCGGATTCGGAGAGGGCGGGGAGGGGCGAAGTGGAGTGCGGAGTCTTGGAACGGTGCTTCCAGCTTGTTAGCCTGCCACAGTGGCGACAGGTTGCCCACCATTTGTTCGAAAGGTTTCAAACATCCGGGCTGTGGCAGGAGTTTGCACGTGGGCTTGTTTTCTGCTCAACGAGGGTAGCTTCAAGATGTTCTGGAAGCCGGTTTCAAGCAGGATCAATCCCTGCCGCCAAAAACGTATTGTCGGCTGGGTGTGTCTCAGTCTCTGTCAGAGGGTGACGCTGGATGCATTTGGCTCTGGACGGACGATGGCAAGGGCCACGGAGCTTTAAACAATTGGCGGGTAGGTGCACCACCCATTTTAGTCTACTTTAGTGGGGATTGGGATGTTCACTCGGGGTACAGGTTTTTGACCCATGGCCAGATCGCCGTGGCAGGCCTTGGCGCTCTTCCTCCTTGCGGACGATGCTGCGCCGGTGAGGGAAGCGAGCGCTGCGTGGGGCTTCCTGCTCCTTGGCCGAGCCAAGCGAGCCAGCTGATCGTTGAAATGCTCTTTCCGTTGAAAGGCTTGTCAAGGAGACAACTCCCTATCTCAAGTCAAGGGTCTCTTTGCGTGCGGATTTCCAGCTGAGTGTCCCGCAACAAATCCTCGGGCTTTGCGGATGTGTCGTCCTGGTGAGGTTCTACGTGGCAGGTACCAACGATGTGGTGCGCTACGTGCCAGTGATGTCAAACATGGATGACCTGGACGCGCCGATCATCTACCAGGAGCATTGACATGCTGACTTGCTGCATCTCTGGCATAAGTTCACATGTGCTTTTGACTGGTTGCCACACACTGCTCAATTCTCGGTAGAGCTTGACTAGAAGGCCGTCAACGCTTGATTTGTTGCTCTTTCTGTTCTGGCAGCCAGGCTCAAATAGATCCCTCATTCAGTGGGATCATCTCTATGGCATGGCATTGACTAACTCAGATGAACAGCTCAGCAGGCACCTGTTTCCACTCTGGATCCTGAGGAAGCTAAAACCTAGCCAACGCAACCTTGCAAAACAACCAAAGCTCACGCATGCCTAACTCTGAGCCGCACCCCAACTCCACACCCCACGTCCGATCAGGACGCGGAGGGCAAGAGCCATGGCCAGATTTCACCGGTTCTGGTCCTTTGGTTTTGCTCTCTCTGCTGAGCAGAAGCTACATGGGTCAAAACCTGCCACCCTTACCTTTGAACATGTGGTCCCTGGTTTTGGCATACAGAGAGATTTTGGGATGCCATTTCCCGACCAAATAGTGGCGAGAATTTGGAGGGGATTCATCGGCTTTCGGTTCTCAGCAAGGAAGCCATTTATTTCACAAGGTGTCCAACCAAGGGACTTTCCATGGCCAAGTGGGAGCCGATTTCCTACTGAGCCCACCAGAAAGGAACCCATTTGTTGACTTCTGATTCAAAGCCGTGTCATCTCGAGGTCCTTTGATTGCAAATGGGTGTGTCGCAACATTGTGGACGCTTGTTTAGGGGACGAATCCCTTGCTGTGTGGCTATGTGTCAAAATAGGAGGACCACACAAAAATTCTGCGATTGCCTCACTGGTTTCCAGCCCACCCCCAAACACGGGGGTCGCAAACGCCAAGCAAGCAACAAAACCACCGCCGGGGCCCGGGGCTCCGAGCGGCGCTTTAAGGACTGTGGAGGTGCCGGGCCTCACGCTGCGCTCCGTGGTGCTGCGGGGCCAGGAGCCCGAGGCCGCGGTGCGCTGCAGCCTGGACTTCCAGGGCCGCAGCTGTCGGGGCCCTGGGGGGGGGGAGGCTGTGGGGGGGGGTTGTTGGGCGCGGGGGGGGTGGGGGGGTAAACGCCACCAAGTTGGAGGGGGGGGGGGGGCCCCTCTATAAATGTTGAATCGCGCAAGCAACAGGGGTCCCTCCATCGTCCTAAAAGGAGAGCGGCGAGAAGCAGTAACCAACAGATGAATGTATTCGCACATGTGCATACGGCTTTTACGCAGCTATGCGTACCAATCTATGGACATATTATACATCTGCTTGAAACGCACAGACACAGGCCCTCGAACAGCAAAAGCCCCGGGGTGATGCTTCTGCGGATCAAGCACATCTGTTGAGAGATCTGACTTGACTTGGGCCCCCGCCCCAGCGCTTGGGGCTCGTTTGTTTCTAAGGGTTCTTGTATTACCTTGGGAATACACCTTGGGCAATGACCCAGAATGGTTCAAAACAACTTTTTGTTTTATCCGGAGATGTGCCTTTTATTGGGGGGTGAATACCCTTGGTCTTGGACCCGACCTCGCCCCGCGCGTTGAATTTGGGAGGCTACGTGGTGGTGATGGCCCCCGGGTCCCCGGCGGCGCTGAAGGCGGCGGCGGCTGGGGCGGGGGAGGTGGTGCGGCTGCAGCGGGAGCTGGAGGACCCGGAGCTCCAGGCGGGTTCCTTTGGCGGGCGAAGGCCGGGGTTGGTGTAGGAGTTGGTCTTCGGGGTGTTGATTTTGGGGGCTCAGGAGTTGACTTTCGGAGGTCTTTTTTTTGGGGAGTTGATGTTCTTCTCAGGGGTTTTGGACAGGACAGACAAGGCCATGGAGGCTTCGCTTTGGCCTGGGTTTGCAAGGCTGACCGTGGGCCGTGTCTGTGCATTTTTTTTGCGGGCGTGATTGATTGATGCTGTCAAGTTGAAGCTGTTGGGCTGTCTTGAACTCGTTCACGCTGCGTGCCATGTTTCTCAATCTCTCCTTGAGCAATTCTCAGGCACTCTGGGGCGCCGCAGCAGAGCTGGCAGAGAGCCACGGGGGCTTCGAGGAGATGCATTTGAACGCTGGGAACTTTCAGAATGTGGCGCAGATGCACCTGAAGGCGGGATGGTGAACGACTGACCAACTCTGAGGAGCAGAAGTGCTCTCAATGCAGCGCGGTAAGGCTTCTGCAGAAAGCGAACTCCTGGGTTGTTTGAAGAGGCAAAAGTAAGCAGCCCAACCACATTGCTGCATTAGGAAGCCCTGCGTAGCTAGGCATGTAGGCAAAAAGCACATTGTGACCATCGACACAATGCTTGATGCAAAGCTCACTTCCCAGTTCTACTTCAACACTTTGGCAATGCTGCTTGTTGGTTGGTTGGTTGGTTGGTCGGTTGGTTGGTCGGTGGGTTGGTGGGTTGGTTGGTTGGTTGGTTGGTTGGTTGGTTGGCTGGCTGGCTGGCTGGCTGGCTGGCAGGCTGGCTGGCTGGCTGGCTGGCTGGCTGGCTGGTTGGCTGGCTGGCTGGCTGGCTGGCTGGCTGGGCTGGCTGGGCTGGTTGGGCTGGTTGGGCTGGTTGGGCTGGTTGGTCGGTTGGTCGGTTGGTCGGTTGGTCGGTTGGTCGGTCGGTCGGTCGGTGGGTCGGTCGGTCGGTCGGTTGGTTGGTTGGTTGGTTGGCTGGTGTTGACAGTTGCCACTGGACTCCTGATATTAGTAAACATGGCGGCATACAACCATCAGCAGGGCCTTTATTCAGTAGTTTGGACATAACGAACAGCTGGTGTGCGACTGTTGGCAAACCGCATTTTGCTCCTTGACTAGAAGTAAGCAGCACCAACCAATCAGCTGAATCCTTTGCTGGGTGGCTGGCGCAACAAGTGCAACAACTGTTTCGAGGCGAATGATGTGCGGATTGCAATGACTTCCACTCCACAGTTTCTGAGGGGATCATCGCAAGAGACCGTCGAGAATTCGTGTCGATAGGTCTGGATCTGCCTGGACCAGTTCCTGGAGATGTGGGGGGACCAGCCGGTCTATCAGCAGCTCCGCGCGAGCCGGCACCAGCGTGAGAAGGCGCATGCTGCCGCGAAGAAGGCGGCGGCAGAGGCGAAGGACTCGAGTCCCCAAAAATTGGCCCAAAAAAAATGACTCGAGGTTCAGTCTTGCCAGGCTTGGACCAAATCTGGTACAATCTGCTCTTGGAACCCAGAAAGACTACTGTTTCCGCAAACCAAGATGTCACATCTGCCTTGATTCGAGGCCCAGCATTCCCCACGCAACCGCCTCGGGCCATGCATGCCGACTCCGTGCTGAGCGGCCAGGAGGCCAGGGAGCTAGAGGAGGCAATTGCACTGTCCCTGCAGTGAGAGGGTGAGACGGGTCAGCGTCCAAGCGGCCGGGAACTTGGGTATGTTGGAGGAAAGGCTTGGGGGCCCACTCTTTTTAGTCTTAGACTCGGTGCGAAGACCGCACCCCCGGATGCTTTGAATAGCCGCAAGAAAAGCCATGGTGCGGGCGGCCTCTGGCGGGGGGCGTCAGGCGGGCTAGCCTGTGGACCTGTGGTGTAGCCGTGTTTGTAGACAAATCATTGGTTGCAAACAGATGGTGTATGTTTTTTGGCAGGGGTTTGCGTCAGCAATTTTTGAGATTCAAAGCTAAAAAGGCATCGCAGGGAGCTGACAACCATCAGGTGATTGTTGTAGAGCTGCATAATATGACGCTATAGAGCTGGCAGCAAGCCGGGTTGTTGCTAGGGCCGAATTCCTCACATATCGCATTCGCATCCTGTTCTGTTCTATTTGGCTCACGGGCCGATGACTCATGCCCTTCACATGCAGCGCCTTCCAGTCCGCAGGCGCTCGCAATGGACTCGTGAGAGCGGCAGTCAGCTGACGTCGCCGGGCTGGCTCACAAGGTTTGCTGGTGAAGGGGCTTGACTCGAGCTGCATGCGCCCAGGTTTTGACATGCCCGAAAAATGATCGAGCAATTGCGAACATGGTCACCTGGTGACCCCTAGGGTGATGACCGGCAGTGGGGTAGAATCTGTTCTGCGCACGACTTGCACGCTTCCCGATGGTATGACCGTGTTCTTCAGGCAACTTTGACGGATGATAGTGATTGACATTGGTTTGCTTTTTGCCACTTGGACTTGGAAATTGTTCACACTCGGCTGGATAGGCCGAAGGTTTCAGAAGCGGAGTGTGTCGGCACCTAGCTTTGTCAGGCAACGCCCCAAAGCAACGTGGCTCGGTGAAAGCCCCCTGGCGCTCGCCAGTCCATCACTTCAACGACAGCCGGGATTTATTTGCCCGCAGGGCAGTCATTTTTAGGGAATCTTGGCTGATACTACGGATGCGCACACGGACGAAAAAGACCTCTGCGCTTGCCGCAGGGCTTGCTATTACTATGTTTGCCGTGTGTGACAATCGCCATATGCCTTTTTGTAGGACTCGATGTCTCTGGCATCAAGCCGCTTCCCGGGTGATGCCCGAGGTAGATGACAGGCTTTTGATGGCCATTATCCAGACCATTCCCCTGCGGGATCGCATACTTGGCATGCGAAATTGGTGTACCCCCCAATCCGCGTCAGCAGCCGAGTTGGTCAGAAGTATTTTGGCCGTTTGAAGCATTGCACGGCCTTTTGTTGGCCGCTTTTGTGTCCCCAAGGCACACTCCTGTGTGCCTCAGTTCCACACTGCCGCAAGCCATATCATATCCGTGTACCCAACATGGCCTCCAACTTTGCCAGTTCGTATTTTTCTTGTTTGTTTGGAACCCCCCTCCGGCTTCAGTGATCGACTCGAAGCCGCTGGATCCACTTCGGCCATGGGGCCATGGCTTGGCGAGTGGTGTGCAGAGGGAGGCATCCTGGCGCGTCGTGGCGCAGGCCGGGGATTCGGCGGATCCAAGTGAGAGGGAGCAGCAGGTGAGTCAAAGGGGGTGCTTCCGCTCGAAGCGTTCGAGGCCATGGGTCGGCTGGGAACGAGTTGGATGAAACTTGTCCCGTCGTAGGGTTCGCTTTCGTAGCTGCGCGACGGACTTCCGGCGGAAGCCCGCCATGTTGCGTCGCTTAAGATGCGAAGCTTTTGCATGGGTTGTGGTTAAGCTGTGGTCTCTCCGTGTGAGGTCAAGGCCACGTCTCAGTGTGGAGCCCGGAGGGTTTCGCTCGCTAGCGTTTGATGGAGCAGAGGCCAAGCTGCCAGGCGCTTGCTTGAAGCGATCGCACCTGTTTTTGGCCCAGTCGCAAAGCAGGCTTGACACGGGAGCCATGGGTGCTTTCCCGAACAAGGCAGCCGCCCGGGCGCACATCGCGAAAGAAGAAGAGGAGAAGAGGAAGTTCCATGAACACCAGATGGCCGTCCTTCAAGAGTTGGATCGGGGGACCAAGGCGAGGAATGTGGCATAAGAACAGGGGCCAGGGGCCCAAAAAGGGGTCATTTTTTGGCTTAGCTCTTTGAGACGGGCGGCTGGTGTTTCTTCTGGCCTTCAAGGTGCCTCACCTTCTCATCGAGTTCCGAAGTCCTGGTTTTTTCGAGATTTGTGGCAAGGATTTGGGCGGAATCTACGGCAAGCTTGATGCCTTTCTCAAAGAAACCTTTGGGTGCGAGGAGTGCACGCTGGCTATGAAGAGCTATCCCTCATGCTGCTGCTTCAAGTGGTATGAGATAGGGCAGAGGCCCCTCCCCCGCGAGCCTTGGGATGACTTGTGCGACAGGATCTACATTTGTGGGCAGATGGATTCCAACGGCATGGTGAAGAGCAAGGACGGGTTTCAGTTTGACTGGAACTTCGGGAAGAAGTCCATGCAAATCGTCGACTTCATGACCAATACCTGCGGCTGGGGTTTTCAGCTTTGCGATGGTAGCAATTTCGGAAGATACGGCAGCCACAAGGAGCAGCAACTCAAGTTCAGAGCTCCACATCCCTTGAACTTCATCGCGCCTCATATCATGATCGAGCTCAGGCCCAATGCCCCCCTTAAAAAATATATAAAAAAATGCTGGCCTGGAAAATAGGCCCCAACGCGGAACGGTGCGATGTTTGAAGCGGTGAGGCACGTGGGCGCCGGCTCCATCAAGGTGAGCGGTCGGAATGAGGATGGCATTCACGGCAAGCTCGCGGCATGGTTCACGAAGACCTGGGATGCTAAGCAGTTGGCCAACCAGGATGGGGCTCACCGGTGGCTTCTTGAAACTATGATTCACGATTTCGCGCAGCTTCAACATTGTCGAATCCCGTGGTTTCCACTTCGAAGTCTTTGGTTGGGGTGTTTCCCAAAAGCAAAGCAGTCCGGATGTGCAGTTGGGAGCCCCGCAGGACCTCAGATTCTGCGATATGACCTTCAACGTCAAGTGCTTCAAACGCCGAGGAGTGCAAGGCGAGAACAACCTTGGGCTGCGGACCATGCAGGTCGTGGACTTTATGACCAGGGAGTGCTCTTGGACCTTGCTGACTTGCAACAGCCACAATTCGGGTTGGACCGGGGAAGAGCGCGAGCAACAGCTTGTGTTCCGCAAGGATCATCACCTGCAGCAAGGACAGCAACACATCATGGTCGAATACCGCGATTTTGGATTCATTGAAGTAAACGGGCTTCATGATGCTGGAGATATTGGTGCGAAGCTGGACGGTTTCTTCGTGAGGCAAAACATCAAGGAGCAGAACGACGCCGAAATGTTTTGCGACAAGAAGTATAACGTGCCGAGCGGCTTCTTCTACCTAGAATGGCAGGATAAACCGAACGCAGTCCTGAGCCCGAAGAACAATATTGGCAAGCGGACGATGGAGCTTGCAAACTTCATGGCAAGTCAGGGCTGGATGCTGTTGCTTTGTAACTTTGGGACCATGTACGTGAAAGCGCCGAAAGGTCGCCCGGCGTCGATTTGAGCATTTGGTTCCCCAATGCAGTAGACAGGGGTTTGGGGTCAGCATGTGTTCGCCAGATGCGTCGCTGCGCCCGCAAGCGTTTGTGTATTTTACCATGTGATATTTTACCAACCTCAATAACCCCAATTGCATGAGTGTCTCACAGGCGTAGCTTCATTACTCGCAACGCGTGGCTCAAGAAAAGCGCGCTTACTGCAGGGTTGAAAGTTGACCCTTCTAGGCTGTTTTGCTTGTTCTATAGGTTATCAGCCGTAAGCGGCTCACTGTACAGAGTTGTTCGCCATGGATGGCAACCCTGGAGTCTCCCTTACCGAGGTGCTCCCTACGCCTGATGAGCATGCGAGTGACGACACCTCGCACTATGCACCTACAAGTCGCGCGAACTCACAAGTGGCCAAAGAGCTCATCAGGAAGGGACAAGCGTTGAACAGTCAAGGCCCCGAATCGCTTCGATCCAGGAGCGATTGAGGTTGGTTTGAGCGGTCTGGTGCTCGATCCCCAGCACCTGTTGGATTCGATCGGCATCGGCATGGTGACGTCGTCATGCGTGACCCTCAGCCCAACCTTGCAAGGGGAAACCCTATGCCACAGTCCTTGAACCAGTACAATCAGCATGTTGCGAATGTTCACCTCGACCCCTACTTGACGGTCAATCAGGAGGTGACGCACTACCAACAGATCAACGCAAATCAACCAGTTCGTGAATCGAGACACTGGTCCAATGGTAGCGCGGTTGCTGGACTTCAGAGTCAATCTGATGCTATGAGGCGGGACACCCAGATGAGTGCGGAACAACGCGCCAACACCACGAAATCGGACAAGGAAGCTGAGATGAAATATCGCAGCGCCCTTGACACCATCAGCGACCAGGAGAAGCAGATCAAGGAGCTGAGGTCAATGGTTGAGCAGATGATGAACAATCAACAGCAACGACAACCTGCTCAAGCTGCCCCGGCAACTCCCTTGGCTGTGCCCCCGATACCATTGGTTGCATCTCCACCCGGACTTTCCAATGCTTCTTCACACAGCTGGACGAATGTCGGGAGCGACCCCTACAGCAAAGACAGATCCGTTCCCGCCGAAGTCGTGGCGGATGCCGCTACCGGAAACGGTGGGCCTGACGATGGTGGAGATGACGGAGATGGGAAGGACAAGAAAAAGAAGAAAAAGAAGAGCAAGAAGGACCTGCAGGAGGCGACGGGACCCGTCCTCTTCGCCTTCATCCTCCTCATCCTCTTCATCTACAGCGTCTGATGAGTCGTTTCGACGAAAGCTACTGAAGCACTTAGGATCTTCCAGCGATCCGACAACGGAACGCGTTCGTGTAAAGGAGGGCGATCGAATTCATATCCCCCGTTTTCCAAAACCCGAACAGTACCGTAATTGGAGGATCAAAGTTAGGGATGCTGTTGTTGCCACTTCTGACCAACCCGAGACGTTTGAGTGGATTGAAGAAACATGGATCCCTGGTCAGACCACCGATATCCATCGTGATTCAGGAATTTTCGTTCATCTCGATGCGAAGTTGGCATCGGCGCTGACCAACATCTTGGAACCCGCACGTCAGGTTGATATCTTCAAGGAGCAAGCGGCGAAGGAGAAGAAATATGCGAGAGGCCGCTAAATCCTTCCTATTGATGGTGCGCAAGTATTTCAGTACAAACATCAAGCATGGCGCCATTTATGACTTCGAGGATTTGCTGGCAGATCAGGAAGTACCGCCCCTCACTCACGACCTCAACAAGTACGAACGAGCGGAGGGGGAACCGAGAAGCACACCTACCTGGCCGGTCATTAAGGACATGCTTTTTATGCCTTTTTTGTTGTGTGCTTTTTTTGGACCGAAAACCTTGTTTTTTCGCGTGCGCGTTCTTTGTCAAAACAATCCGTTTTTCGGAAGTGTTTTTTTTGCCGAAAATCTTGGGAGGGAGGCATCACTACCCACAGAGTCTTCACTCAGATTCTCCTCCTCGACGTCCTCTTCATCTTCAATTTCTTCGTCTTCTTCGTCTTCTGCAATCAGGTCCTTCTCCGACTTCTTCTTCGGAGCCGCCTTCATCTTTGCAGCCTTCTTTGGCTTCGGCTTTGCATTGGCACCTCCCCGCGACTTTCGCTTCTTGCCTGTCACCGTGGACGTGGAAGGCTCAGGGGTGCTGCTGCTCTGCGCATGCGGAAGGTGCAAAAGTTTTCCCAGCTTTGCGTTGAAAATCTTGTCGTTGGCAGGGTCAGTCATCGCCGCGAGGAGCTGTGTGCAGACCTGGGCCTTGAACCACTTGGCGTGCTTTTGTGAGAAGCCTGGCGTGCTCTTCTTGGGCACCAGAACCAAACTCGAGCAAAAGGACATCAAACTGCGACGCAGCCAAGGAGCAAATTGCTGTCACTGGAATTCTTTTTGTCAAAATCACGCTGGCTGTCGCAGGCTCTGCTGCTGTCATGAGTGTGACAGCCCGTGGCCGATACCGGTGCAACAATTCCTCGATCATGTGCGAATGCCTTGGATTCCAAGTGATCGGTTCTCCTGCCACGTTGTCCTTTGCACTTCCATCTGTTCGCTGTTGGTTGTTCGGTGCACCAGCCACGCGGAAGCTTCCAAGCAACTCGTGCTTGAACACAGGTGCCAGCCTTGTCAGCCCTGCCAAATCATGCCGGGGGACCCCGTAGACCTCAGAAACTCGCACGCAAACAAGGGGCGCAAGCTGAGCGCGCCAAACAACCGCGCACTGTTTGGTTTATCCAAGGCGCAGCATCTGAACACACGGTCCCCTCAAAATGTAGGTTCTTCCGGCTTCCCGTGATAGCTTGCAGCTTTTGCACATCCGTGGTGGTCACCAAGACCTTTTCTGCCAAGTTAATCACGTTGACCTCATTATCAGCCCCCGCGCCTCCGAGGAAATCACATTAAAACGCTGAGGCCCTGGCCCCACGCTCAATCGCCGTCCCTGACAGATTCCTGGCCTTCCTGTTCGCAGTTGTCGAGGCCTCACTGTGGATTAAATTCCACATCTTAGTCACGCCGATGCCCTTGAACAGGTTGTTCCAATGAGAATGCAGGCCTGACCGGCCTCCGTCAAAGAACAAGAACCTAAGATGAGCAACGCATGGACGGCGCACGCATCCTGTGTTTATCTAATAAGCTAGGCAACACATCCGAAGCGTCTGGGGGAGGCGGCCCGTCCGAGTCGTCAAAGGTCAAAGTGGATTGCCTGTTTCGTGCAAAAAGCACGCCCTTGACCACTTTCTCGAAGTGTTCTTTCTGAAACGGAGGGGGTGACCTCCGAGCGTCGGTTTTATGCTCTCCTGCCTGCTCAACGTCCCAAATGAAAAGTTGGGAACCCTCCTGGCTTCGCGTGTTTAGGAATTCCACCTTCGACAAAGCAAGGATGAGTTTGTCAATCTCTTGGTCAGCCACCGCGACCTGCAAAAGGGAATTGACAAGGTCCTTGGCGGTTGTCTCAGTTTCTAGCAGAAACTCTTTGTCTTCAGTCTTCAGAGCTTCAACTGCATGGACAGCCTCAGTTGCCTTGGCTTCATTGGGCTCTGAAAGGCGGATGGCGGCTTTCACAAGGGCGGCGTCATCCAACGCACCTTCGTCCGCTGACTCCGCCTGCGTTGCCGCAGCCGTTTTGTCGGCTTTCTTGGTTAGCTTGTCCCAGATGGGCTTGAGCACCTCGCGCTCGAGAAGGGCATTCACGTCAAAGTTGGTGTGCAACACGCTCTTCACCTTCTCGTCGTACTTCTTGGTGTAAATGAGATCTGCCAGAAATTCCGCAGCCTCTTGACTGGCTGGCTGCAGCGCCCCCAGCCACGATTTGTTGGCCACGACTTTCACGGATTTGCCTCGGCGCCATGTCCAGATCATTACAATGTCATGGGCGACACTTGAATCACCAATTGCAGTCAAAATGCTAGGGTCAAGTTCATTGTCAGGGATATTGTCGAGCGTCTCCCGCGAGAAGAGAAGGCCACCAGCCATTGCCTTGCGCCACGTCTCCTGAGTGGAGAGTTTCTCCCGGATGCGTTTTGCGTCCTCACATGGCAGGCTCTTGTGAGCCAACAGCATGTCCAGGATCTCATCTTTCAGGACATACTTCCATGCCCACATATGCAACAGCCTCAGAAGCAGTGCGCCCCCATCAATCAAGGCAAAACCTAAGAAAAAAGCAGCAGTGCTAGGAGTCAGGCCCTTTGGAATTATTCCCACGGGGGTTCTTGCCGGCCAACGCCTGGGGGTTGAGCTCGCCTTGCTTGAAGATTTTGTTCAACGCCGCATCCATGAGGGCATCGAACACCCACTTCACGCAAGGCGGTTGCTTCTTGCAAGCAGTGGCAAGGTCTCGCAAAACATATATGGACTTGATGGGACTTCGCTTTCCGAAGAGCTCCTCAGAAAGCAGGACTTCCTCTCGGAAAGAAGTGTCGCTCAGCAAGGAATTCCACAGAGCCATCAAGACTTCGAGGAAGGACTGCGTCACTGCCTCCCCCGATGTCACCGTCAAGTTGGCAGACAAGATCTCGAAAAGCTTCTTAGTCGTCAGCTTGGTCTTGGAAGCTGATTCGTGATTCAACTTGAAGGACACTATTTGAAAGATGCGTTGCACAGGGCTGTAGTACATGGTCTCGTAGCTGGTCCCAACATCCTCCCTTTGCTTGGCCGCTTCCCAGAACAAATTCAGCCCGGGCTTGAAGCGGCAATCGATCGTGGAAGACAGCCACGCCCTTCTCCATTCCTGCGCTGGCAACTCAATGCTTGGCTAGTAATGTATTTAGGGGCCAAGACAGCGACGGCGCCGGCCTCCTGGAACTTGTCTTGCTGCAAGTCCCTCGCTGTGGCCAAGATGAAGGCGTGATGGTCCTCCTCCGGACTGATCCTCTTCATTTGCCCATTTTTCTGGTCCATAAACAAGTCATCCACTGCCACCACCAAATTTATAGGCTGGGGCGTCTTGTACGTGGTGCGCATGATCCACTTTACGCTGCTCT